GTTCTGTTAAAAAAAAAAAAGAAAATTAGGTTAATTAAAATAAAACAGCTAAATTTTGGAAACCTGTATGTAAAACAGGAGCAAAACAGAAAAAATAAATCAGAATTGAAGTTTCATGTATCAGTAGTGGAGAGAAAGCTGGATTACCATAATCCTAGATTGTAACCTGCAGAATATAAGAACACCAACTGATGGAAGCTGTTACTTTGCACACCTGGGCATCTTTTTTTACAGGAAATAATCCTCCTTCCACTGAGAGGTGCACTTAGATTTATTTGCAAAACGGCTGTAAACCTCTGGAAATCCTGAACTACAAGGTACTAAAGGAAACCACTACGAGATATCATCATCTGACCATTCAATAAATATCAGAAGAGGTTGTTAGTGTTGATCTGGCATGTCCAAACCCCTCTTACACACCCAGGTAGGTTAGGTCACCGTCTACAGGGGCTGATTTCCCACCACTGGCAACAGGTGACAGCCTGGGGAACAACAGCTCAACTACAGGTCTCGGTTAGTTGGGCAGACTTAACTGCAGAGCCCAGCTTACTCCAGGGCCCCGGTCCCAGTCCCTGACGAACGTTTCTCTGTGGGAACACGGAATTAGAACTGGAAATGAAAGCAAAAAATCCCTGCCAGTTATTTCTCCTCCAATTTCAGATTTTCTGGCACATGGATAAGCATCACTGCCAGCCAGAATTTGGCCTTATGTGTCTGACCTGTAAAATACAGCACTGCTTTCGTTTGTAATAAAATACATCTGCTGGCCTTCAGCAGCCTGGAGAAGCACACCTTTTAAGCAATTTTCCCCCCGTAATTTGAGTTCACTGAGCCATTTTTCCTGCTAGTGAAAATGGGCATAGCTCCAGGGCAGCTGATGAGTTTTACTCACTTATATTCAGAATGGGACTCGGTATCTTTCAAACATAAATAAATCCAAAGCATGTCATGGATTGAAACACGTCAATTAAAATTAAACTAAAATATAGTTTCTAAGTGAACAATAAACCTATTTGTCTCATCTTTCCAGAAATGATCAGATTTTCCTCCTAAAATGTATTCTGCAGCAACACTGCAGATATCTTTCTTCTTACAAAGAGAAGTGAATTTTGACAAGTTATTTAAATTTTGGATTAAACCACAGTAGCAAATACCAGGTGGAAAAAGTACAGAGATGATACCTTACCATGGGCAGAACTGCACAGCATCAATAACCAAATATACTCTGCAGTGCTTGACATTAACAACGCGCGTTTATCTCCACCTTCACTTGCACTGCTAAAACATGCATGACTGGGCTAAGTAGCTGCATAAATTAGATGAAAATTCATTTCTCTTTCCCTCCTCTAAACTGTGCATTCATTTAAATTCTAAAAGGTAAGTCAACTTACCTTTTTTTAATGTGCTTCTTGCATTTTGTTTTCATCCTAGCTATCGTCGTCTGCATGTATGATAAAACTCAAAAACGGGCTCTGAACCCAGGCCTGAAAAGGTGTGGGATGGACACAGCTTCACAGCAACCTCGGACTCTGCCAGATACAGAATATTCATTTCCACGTTGTCTTCTGCCACTCCTTTTCCTTAAAGCCGATGGGAGAAGCAGGTCCATCAGGGTTTCTCCCACCGTAGCAGCTGATGGTGCCCAACAGCTTCTGTTCACAGCAACACCGAAACCACAGTTAACACCTAGGGCTCAGGGTCCGAGGTTAGCAGGAGAACAGGGCTCCTCCAGCACATTCCCCAGGGCTGGGAAGGACAGAAAAACGAACAGAGTCTGGCCCTCAGCTTTAAACTCTGACTTTCACGCTTCCTGAGGAAGAACCTTATGCAATTAACTTCTTTCAAGACTTTGATTTGAACTATAAATACATCCCAGGGGAAATCAAAGGCTAGACTGAGGCAGGACAAATGCCATGGAGCACTTTTTTCCTACAATTAATTGCAAACCCTTTGGTACCTGATGTGCTTTGGAATGTATTTCCTCTCACCCTCAGTTAACTTATTCTCTGCACCTCTGCCGAGGAAGATTTCACAGTGCTGTCCGCTCTGCACTCCTCCAGGATTTAATGAAGTCACTTGGCCTCTTCCAAACGACTCCTGACTTGATTTTTGAATGTTGAGAAGGGGATTAACGAGACACACGTGGAATTAGGGCACTGCATAGTAAAAGCAAAGCTTCCTTTCCTATCACCCTCTCTGAAAACAGGGACCAGCGTCAGTATCGCTTGTACTCCTTGCACCACTAAGGTCAATGGCATTTCTGATCAGGCAAGGAACGTTCACTGAGGCCTTGGACATGCGCGAGTCCAACTGTATGTATTTATTTGCTACATACTCGGCAGGAATTATCTTTGCCTGTCATTTTAATCAGGAGGGAGACGTTCTTGCTTTGGCCACCCAGATCACTTCTCCTGTAAGAGCAGACTATTCTCAGCTCTGCCAGTCACCAAACTACAGCAATCTCTCTTCTCTTTCATCCACCTCAAAACACTCATCCTACCACAACGCTGTCACGGAAACATCTATACCCAAGACAGAATACTGCCTGCAAAAATAACACAAAAGATTGAAATTTGGGCACTCAGGATGAGGAACAACGAGCAGGAACGGGATTTTCAAAGGCAGCTCAGGGAAAAGACAAGCCAGCTTTCCAGGCAATTCAGGAGGAGCAGAGTGCCCATCTTCCTACAGCTCCAAGACCAAAGCGTATAAAAAGGCTGGGAAACACCTCCAAACCAGGGGTATTCACTCTGCTCAGATGCTTACATAGGCTCACTCCATCTATCAGACTGAGTAGCCTTGTCAGCCCACTATTTGTTTTGAGTTTATTTCAGATCTTTGAGGTTTGATCTCAAATTTCAGTATACACACCGCATTAAACCCACGTGCTGGCATGTGTGTGCGTGCTAGACATTACGCACAAGATCCACTGAGCCGGGCACTTTTAAGTTCCACCAATCCTAAACGACACCGCAAGGCATCAGCAAAGGTTCGAAATCTTCAGACACGTGAAAGTTTTGCAGTTCCCTTTCCATTATGCACGCTGCTATATTTAGCAGACTTTGACACCACATCCTCCTCCTCCAAAAGAAGCCCCATACCACGAAGGCGCAGTCTTTACATAGGTACAGCTTCTTAAGGGTCCACTGCACTTCCTTCCTGAAAATTTCCTTCTCTGTATAGGCCAAACCAGGTACAATTTTAATTCTAAGCCCCTTCTTACAGTTTCTACCACAGTAAATGCAGCTAATTAACAAGCTAGATTACTTGCATTCAGAGCTTCAAGATGAACCCCCTCAGTTCAGATCGTCTCAGTGTTCTGAGGCACTCTTTCAAGCCTAACGCTATTTTCATTACAAATGCCAGCTCAGGGACGATTTTAAAAGCAGCCCAACAACTAAAGATACTGATTTAGAAAAAAAAAAAACACACACACATACAAGCAAAAAAAAAAACCCCAACAAAACCCAACAAACAACTTTGATCCCTTCAAAGGACTGATCAGATGTCAAGGTCCTTGATTTACAAACACAAGTATGATTGCCTTGATGTATTATTACCTATAGATCACAAGATCCCTCATTCTCTTACAGGGTTGACAAAGATTTTAAAAATGCACATTATGCATCAAAGTTTGAGAGATGCACCTCAGACACAGAAGGTTTTGGCTTATAGTAGTTGTTTCATGGCAAGTTTCACTGAGAAGCTCTGCTTTATAACTTCCTACGCACTGGGTGGCATCAGAACTAGATAAAAGTGATTTTTACTAGCACGCTAGTGCGCATTTTGGAAGCTTACAATTGTATAAGTACAGTTTGTTGCTAGATTTTGGAGTTGGGTTTCATGATTGCAAACCCAGAACTGCAGGTGTGTCAAGCCATACTCCATCACATCACTAGTAAAGATGTTCCCCTACTAGAAGCAAACCTCTGCAGACCAGGCCACAGTCTCATCCATTCACCGTTTCACAAGGCTGACACAGTGGTTAATTTCCAGTGGAAACAGTTCTTGACAAGAAGTAACAGCAAAGGAAGCAAACAGCTTTGAAAGCTAAATAAAAACATTCCCATATCAAAACCTGCATTTAAATTTCCAAACCAAGCTGAAGAAAGCTTGCACTAACTTTTCAGGAATGCTGCAGTCAGAGCTTGCTGGGCTTGCAGGTGCTTCGCTCCCAAGCAAATAAAAGCAGAGTCTGTTTACTAAACATACAAACAGAACAAAAAATAATAATATACTGACAGAAGGCTGTGTGGATTTCATCGAAGAGAAAAGGATTTATTTAAAAGAACACTTTTTTTAACAGAAAAGTAAATACTTCCATAATCTCAATCAACTATTTCCTATTCCAACCATATTTTCATTGAAACATCCTCCACCCACGCAGTACAAACGTATATATGCGATAAGATCAGTGCCTTGATTCATGCTTCATGTTGATGCATTTCCTATTTATGATAATATATGTAACATAATCCAGAGTCCTCAACATCTCTACCTGCTGACAGGCCTTTCAAAGCAAAGCTGGTTTTTTCAGCCACTGATCAAGCTTTACAGGAGCAGAATTTGAACCTGAATGTCCAAAACTTGGGCTTCAACTATACAGCCTAATCCACAGACATCTTGACCCTTTTACTTACTGGCTGGATCAGTCTTGTAGATCAAAGTTCTACCAGCAGACAGCTTCACTGATTTTTCTTGCAGGAGTAAGTCCAATGGTACATGTGTACAATTACTCATACAGCCAGAGTCTTAGGAAGAGGACACAGACATTATAAAAATATGGCTGACTAGCATTTAAGAGAAATTAATTTCAAATTCTGCATTACAAGAAAGAAAACAGTGACCTTTACTTCCTCTGCTAACAAAGTATGCTTTAAGTGTCAAAATATTTATTTGACAAAGTCTTTGTTGTGTAAATATTTTCATTTCCCAACCTTACCCTTAGAGTGAAATATTTGTAGCTGAAGAGGTGAATACGATTTGGACAAGCAGATCAGTCAGGATGTAAACTGCACCCTGCAGCTCTTTTTCCTGCATGCTGGGTTCGAGATTTGTAAGTTTGGAGTACTAAATTCAGAGCTATTTCTGTTGGTAGTGTTGTGCAAACTAAGCCAGGCTAAAGAGTGCAAGAGCACTTCTCTGGCTTTTGCTGTTTCTATATTCTGCTCCTGGGATATCTGGAAGCTTAACTGATCCAGGTTGTTCCTTATGAAACTGCAAGTGAGGAGGTTTGTTACAGAACCACATCTGGTCAAGTTTTCCTCCAAAACCTGTTTATAGAGCTCTGTCAGTTTTGTTTCCATGTACTTGTTGAGCATGGAGTTGGAGAGAGGCTCCTCACAGAGCATGATGCTCCGTTCTCCAGCTTCATCCCTGGACAGGGACGTTGCACTCGGCTTTTCGGGCTGCTCGCACAGAGGGGACTGACCTAGGGGAATATCAGTGGACAGGAGAACAGGGCCATCAGGAAGTTCATCACACATGTGGTCCAAAACGCAGCCGGAATCACATGTATGGTCCCCCACACGGTCTCCCCCAATCTGCAAGTCGGGGTAGTTTTGGTAAATGCTGTTGCAGGACCAGGATGTGTACAAATCCATCTGCTCGGTGTTCTGTTCTCTTCTGGGGATGTACAAAGCGGGTGAGACAGTTCCTTTAACAAGCACTTTCTCATCTTTTGCAGGTACCTCTTTTACGGATCTCCGTTGAGGACAACTCCTGTGTTCCATTTTGCTGCTTTCAGCAGAGATCTCACTTTGTTTCCCATGTCCATCAGCAAAGCCTTGAATTTTTGGGTTGTCTACAAGTTTCTGTCTCCAGATTCCCTCTTTATCCTTTTTGGATGCATGAGATTTGCGAGGCTTATCTTGATGATAGCTTGCTTTATATACGAGGCTAGTCAGGATGCCTTCTGCCAACATGACGACAAGCGTGAGCAACAGCCTAATCACCAGGGTTCCATGCAGCCCTGCGAGTGAAAACAAGACAGGTAGAGTACCTCAAACTTCTCTGGACAAAGAGGAATAATAATAAAAAATGAACAACGCACTTTTTACGTAAAGACTGATTTTTTTTTCCTCTAGAATATTTATTGTTAGTAAAGAGTAAACCGCATGCTTTTCTACAATTTTAACCTCTATCATGCAAACAAAATTCATTCAGAAGATACAGGAAGGGCATTAACCGGGTTTATCTGTAGTGTCACTTCTCTTCTGCGGTGTGGCTAGTTGAGATAGATCATACTTAGGAGCTGCAAAAAATCAGCAAAACCATTTTACTTACCTATATCACTACCATCAGTTGCAAATCAACTTTCTTCCATTGAAAGACAACAATTTCTAAGAACTAGAAATTCTAAGAACTAAAGATGTGACATAGGAAGGAAATCAAGATCAAGTTTAGACTTAGAGGTTGATTCCAAACTGGCCTGAGCCCTTCCATGAGATGCCCAGGAGCTTCAAAAGATGCTGATAGTTCAAGTATAAAACTGCATCCAAAATGCAGGTCACATACACAACTGTCTTTCAGAGTTCCTCCTAATGATGATTTTAAAGGATATAATTAGTTAATTTGTCTTCCCCAATAGTGAAGTGATGAGTAATATGTTTGTGTATCTATAGGCTCTACAGCTTTACTCAATACACACAAATAATTAAAATCTAGCCAATATGCCTCAGAATAATCTACCACATCTAATGAGTATCGTTCCTTTTCAACTCAGCTACTGCTAAAATCAATGGGAATCTTTCCATTTAGAGCCAAGTCTGACCTAAACTCACTAAGGAAAAGATCACTACTGCTCCTCTTAAGGAGGAATGGGAAAGATGAACCCAAGAAAATCCCTCTGTTCTTCAAATGTCTTTTTAATCTCCATGTATTTCAAGCACCTTCACACATCTCTACTGTGCTCGTGGTTTGCAATAGGGAGGAGAGGCAAGGGATGAGGCAGTTTTGTTGAAGATTACGTAGTAAGTCCCCAAAGAACATGACATACTGGCATGCTGTTTCAAATACACCAAAAACTCTATGCATATCACAGATGATTAAAGCTCAAGGCTTTTCACAGAGCTGGCAGTTTGCATCAGTAGCAAGTCACCAGATAGCTCTCCACACAAACGAAACCGCTGCAGATTTAAAATGATGTCTGATGTATTAACCCAAAGATCCTCCTCACTCTACTCATTCACTTCCAGCAGCGACCAAACCATTACTCTGGCTTATCTGTTCTTCAATGAAACTTGATGCACTGGGTCACTTCTTTTTAATCCCAGGCCTCATTCCAGAAAGCTACTCCATAACTCAAATTACTTGAGAGATGTGTAAATTTCAGAGGGAAGTCAGAAATTTTCATTGCCACAGTACAATCATTTGCTTTTTTCAGCTTGAATGGCACTGTTCCCCCCTCCCCCCAAAGCTGCAGGTACCACTGGAACTGAGACACACCCGCACGTGAGAACCAAGCAGACACAAAAGGCAGCACACCATGCCTCCTCCTGGTTACATTAGCATTACTATTTACTCTTACCACATACCTATTTACTAAGTGCCATTTTTGAAAGCCACAAGAGCACTTGGCAGCCTAAATCTTGCCGAATGTCAATGGAGTTTGGAATGCTGCGTGCCTCATTTGCTTCTGAAAAACAGGACACAGCTACCCAGATCCTTACACGCTTAAGAATTTTGATGTATTGCTTTGAAAACGCTCATAGTGCTAGTGTGGAGCTAAAATACTGTGATCTTAGCAAAACTGCTCTCCTTCACATAAAGTAAATGGTGCCTGCATTCTGAAACAAAGCATAAGGGGAAAAAAAAGGGCACAAAAAGCCCGCACTTACCAGTCCAAGCTGGGTAAGAGAGGTGGATAATCACATCGCCCAGAACTCTCCCAGTACAGCTGCTGCAAGAGAACAGATTCTTACATGCTCTTTCTTCACTGCTGTCTGCGTGGAAAAAAACCTGACGCACACATGACTTAGTTCCCCTTTTTTTCTTTTTAATACAGAAGTCTAAAAGAGGATGTTAAAAAAGTGAATTGAGATGTTTGACTGCAGTGCAATGCTGATGAGTTGCTAACTGCCATAATACATCATTTAAAAACAAAGACTACTAAAGGATCAGGGTGCCTGTACTTCACCAGGCTGTTCGAAACCGAATTCCACCAAACACTTCCATCTACAGAATTTCAGTTTTGTTCTGCCATCCACCTGACTTAGAGGCGATGCTATTTACACCATTTCCCCCTCTGAAACAAACAACTAAATTTATAGTCTCGTGACCTTCTTCTGGTGGCAAAGACATTCACAACTTCATTTCATCAAGATTTTGACGAAATATCACTTACCTACAAAAGGCAAATATAAGAATCTGCAGTCTGAAAGCAGTAGCCATCAGATGGCTGCAAACAGTCTTGCTGCTCACTGACCAAATCCACTTTCTCTGGACTTAAAAATGACCCCTGCCTCAGCGGCATGGCAGAGGGGCCCCTGACAGTGG